CTGAGGCGGCAGAGCCGAGGGCAGTAGGGGCCTTGGAGTGGAGGGTGGTGAGGGGACTAGGGTGGGGTGGCTGGGGCTTCTCGGGATGTGGCAGCTTTGCACCACACTGCTGGGCCAGGCTGGGCTTCATGCGGCACAAAGGGGCTTCCTGGCATGTCGCGGCTCTGGGACTTTTTGCTGGGGCTGGGCTTCACATGGTGCAAAGGGGCTTCCTGGTGTGCTACGGCACACCAAGAAGCCCCTGAGCCCCAGTATATTCTTTATCCAGCCTTCCTGAGCTCACACCGCACTGCAGCAACCCCCTCCAATTCACGCACAGCCTGCATTGGCCCTCCCAGGCCTCCCACACACCCCCGTGGCACCCCCCATGCTCCTTACCTGGGATTCCTGCCTCTTCCTGCTTCATGACTTGTGCATCTTGGGGTTATGACAGCAACCGGGACTGCCCAGGATTGCCGTCACTAGGCGATGCAGTCACGTGACATCACACTTTACAACTACATCACTTAGCAACAGAAATTCCAGTCCCAATTATGGTCATAAATCAAGGACTAGCTGTAGACAATCTGGAATATGTCCAGAACAGGCCAAGGAAAATGGTTAATAGCCTAGATTCCAAAGTTGAGGCACCTGGGTATGTTTATTTTAAAGGACAGAGAATGAAAAGATAACAATTAAATGTTTGAAAGATTGCTGTATATATGATGGAGCAAATTGAATTTCAGTTATTCTGGAAGGTTCAAACATAATAACATAAACATGCCTACTTTAGTCTAAACATTAGAAAAAAATTCTTGACTGCATAAGGTATTACATAGTGGAATAGACTGCCTTGAAAAGTGATTAGAGGCATTAGAAGCTTTTAAATAGAGGCAGGATGACAACCTACCAGAGATCCTGAAGCAGAGCATTTATTGTGTAAAAAGGAGGTTGAACTAGTCGACCTTTCAACTCTCTGAGGTAATAATTGAGTTTAAGCATATATACATTCAGTTCTTCTGTCTTTTCTCCAAGAACCTCAAGCCTGGATACATGGTTTTGCCCAACCCCATTGCCCAGATCCCATAGTGTGAGACAATTCTGGCAGAGAAATAAATACCACACCAAGTCCTCTTAGAAACTAATCTGATGCTTGAAAACAGCTCTTCCCTGTCCTTATGATATTCAAAGCCACCTTCTCCAACTGGGTGTCTATTGGATGCACTGGACCACAATCTCTCCACCAGTTGAAGGAGGCTGTTCTAAGCATTATATCAATTGACTATTCTAAGCATTATATCCCATAAGTGGAATCCCACAGCTGAAGAATCTTGGGTGTATGCAGGACCACCATCTGTAATATCAGATGATCTCTGTCACTCACTTGAAGAGTAGTGAAGGTACACATTCTGTAATGAGTAAAGGTACACTTTCTGTAATGCAAATAAATAAATAATTAAATATCAAATATCTATAAGTAATCACTTTAATGTATTTCTGCTCATTTGCAGATATTTACACGTCCAACTGCAGAATTGCTGGTGTAACTCTTGCTGCAGATAAGAATAAAATTAATTTTAATTTTGTTGAAGCACAATCAGTTTGCAGGCAGCTGGGATTAACGCTAGCACAAAAATCCAAGATTGAAACTGCTTGGAAGCATGGCTTTGAAACTTGCAGGTACAGAAAATCTTTCCAACATTTACTTTTAAATATTTGATTTACTGTACATACAGATTACCTTTTTGTTCATGCTAGTTTTATAAAATGTCATTATTATCACTCAGAAATAAATCAAGATTGGAAGCATGCAAACAATTAAAAATGAAATAGCCCCTCCTATTCTTATAGCAGAAAATGTTGGCTATTTATTCCCAAATTAAATTTACTCTTTTTTCCCGTAGAAACATATGCATGGATTTAAAATCATTAAGTATGTTGTTTGTGTATAAATATGAATGAATCTAGCTTCAGATAAGCACCTGAGGTGCACTTAAATGTGTGCCTAATATAATGTGTAACTTGCCCTCTTGAAACAGGAACTGGCTATGCCTATCACAAACTTCTCGAAATTTTCCTGTTTTCCAAAGGATGTGTCATCATATGTCATTGAGGGTTGCTTCCCCAAAATGAAAATGGGCTAAGTCAGGACAAAAACCATTTTTATTGACTTTAACTTTAATTAAATTAAAAGTAATCACTTTAATGATTATTTACCATGTATTTAATAACTTTCCCCTTTTGTAACATTAACATCTATAACTTTTGGAGGGACTCTAAAGACCACAGCCCAGGCTTTGTGGGAGGGGCCCACTGACTGTGGATTCCAATCTTTCACCATGAAAAGAATCATAGCATAAAGAAAGAACAGCGCTAGAATTTTCTTGAAGAAAACTCTTAAAGGAAAACTTCCTACAGCACCATTTCTACAGCACCATTAAGACTGATACAGGCACTTGGATACTGGAGTGTTCCAAGCTCCCCAAAGCTCTTTTGGTTACAATTCAGCAGGGAGGAAGTGAAGAGAGAGACAGAGAGAGAGTTGCTTCTTTCTGCCTACTTCTGTTAATCAATTTAGTTTAGTTTTCCTCCTCACAGAAGGTCTAATTGTCCCTTTCCACAAAGAGTTGGGGCTGAGTGAAAAACTGAACAGAACAAGGTGAATGGAGAAACTTGTAGGGAGAGCACCTAGGATTTGAATGTTTTGTTTGTTTAGCAACTTGCATGCCACCTCAATCACTTTAGGCAGCTTACATATTAGGGTTAAAAACAGCAATAGAACTCATAAAAATATAACAAAAGGCAAGGCAATAATATGTACCACATATTACAGGGAGGATAAGCAACTCAGGAGCAATTCTAACAATCAGAATAGACAATCAGGGAGTCTATCACTTCCCCAGGTCTTACTGAACGAGCTGAGTTTTTACAGCTTTACAAAAGCCCAACAGACTCAGAACTATATGAACCTGGAGGGGATTTTGGTTTGCAAATCTCCACCTTCCCTTCCTGTCCCCCAGCTCAAGGTCAGGTAAAATCCCTTTGGGGACTTTCTGAAGTCAAGATATCTTGGCTTTGAAAAGCCCCAGCCCTAGAGGCTGGTAGGGAGGCAGAAGGAGGAATCTAGTCAGATTCCCATCTCCTCCACGATTGGAGTTCCCAGTGCCAGGGGATTGTGCCCCAAAAGTACAGTGTCTTTGCATTTCCTTCTAAATAAAGAAGAGTAGGCTGAGAAAGTAACCTTCAAACATGATATTATAAGCTTCAAGACTGAACAAGGAGGGTGGGAATCACAAAACTGAAGAATAATATTCTTTGTCCCATTGTTGAGCAGACAACATCTACTTTGAACAGTGACACTTCATTGTTGCTAGGGGCATATATCTAACAGAAAAAATGCTTTTCACTGTAGTTTTGGCTGGGTAGCAGAAGGCTATGCTGTTATTTCTCGGATAATTCCAAATGAAAAATGTGGTCAGAATAAAACTGGGATTGCCATCTGGAGAATATCCCAAAACAGGAAAGCTCGTGCTTATTGTCATAATTCTTCAGGTAAGTGGGATGAGATATGGATTATATAATTATATTCTGCATCAGAATCCTTCCTGAAAGAGTTAAGGTGATAATATTTGTGGAGATTGCCCTGCTGCTATAAGATTGTGGCCAAATTCTGATACTCCAATGTACACAGCTTCACTGTACAATAACTTGGGAGAGCCTGAGAAACTCACAAATTGCACATTAAACTATTAACCAGTCAGCTAAGCCACTGTTGACAAGTTTATCTGTTTTTCCCTTAGTCAAAGTTTGTAGCATGGAAGAGCATTATGAAATTTAAAGATCTTTAGCTGTGCCAAAAATACATTGCTTTCTAGTTTCAATTTAAAAAGCTATACTTATTAAGGTTAGGGATGGATCAGCATTACTATTTGCAAGTTCTCTCTTCCTGGGTCAAGGAAGAGGACCAGATTGTGGGAGAGTTCCTTCTCCTGCTTTGATCCCAACTTATGGAATGAACTTTTTTGGGATCTGCACTTGGCCACACTCTCTCAGAGATACCAAATCTATAAAGACATACAGCATCTCTATCACAAGGCTTGCTAATCATTAATTTCACTAGTAATTTTAATTTAATGTTTTTAAAAAATATTAACCACTTTGAATAGAAGGGTAGCTTTTAAGTCAGAGAAATAAATAAAACCCATTAAAGAACATTAAAAAAGAAGAGAACTGCAGAACATTTTGGTCTCTAAAATAATCTAAAGTAGATCAGAATAAAGAATACTGTAATCTCAAAGATACTTGCAAGGAACTTGGGGTTCCTATGTTGTCATCTGGAATACTCCCCATACTTATCTCAATGGGATGAATTGATGGAGAAGCTGCATCTTTTAATCAGAAATTATTATGGGGCCTTCAGCACCTCTCTGGAGATAGAATTTGGTCATTTGGACAATCTAGGATAAACTGGTGATGCACTTTCTGAGATCTCAGGAAGGGTTAAAAAAAACCTTAAAGCAATTTCTATTTGACTCTGAATAAAGAGAAAAACCATAAAGAGTTTTACTGGAAGTCATGTGCTTGAAACATGGAAGGTATGCCACTAGAAAATTAAAATGTAGGCCATAGTTTCATTCATATGACATTTGCCCAGCCTCACTGTACACAACTCTCCTAAGACATGTAGATGATTCAATATTAGGGTACTGAATGAAATTGAAGGATTCTTAAAGTACGCATCAAGGTCCTCAGAGAAATTTAAAAATTGTACATATGGCCTAACACAAAGGCCCTATCATACCTAATCTTTTGGTCTATCTATTTAAAATGGCAGCCTATACATAATTCTAATACTAATTTTTTAAATCAAATGCTATAAGTTCTCTTTTAAGGAGACATAACTCTTTTAAGGAGTCTATTTTAATAACAAGCAAATAAGTTGGTGTGTTTTTTGCCATGGCTATTCATGGTAACAAGCATGTTTATCATAAAATGCAGCTGGTCGGAACCCAGTGATCCTCTTGGCTTTGGCTATTGGTATGAGCCACAGAGGCTCATAGCAATATCACAATATCACTATCATTAACATCCTATTCAGTTCATTAAAATGTGTCATTACATTTCCCACCAGGGACTTACATCAAGAATGGTGCAAAGACCATTTCCCTCCATCACTGCAAATATTGAGGTGGCCATTCTGGTATTATAATAGTTTTCAAGCTATATAAAAGATTGAAATTTGATCTTTAGAATAAGAATTATTTAATCTCATGAGTCCTTTCCTGTGTGGTTTATACATAGTATAGCGGGACACATCACACCACAAGGCCATTTAAATGGAGTTTTTTCTACCAATGTAATAGGTGACTTTTGGAAGCACTGTTTTTCCTGGCCAGAGGGTCAAACTAGATGCCCTGTTAATTGTGCCGATGCAATTAATGTGCATGCTTATATTCTCCTTTACATACACTTGTTATCAAGAACACCAGGTAGAAACCAAGAGATTTAATACTTTCTTCTCTTATTTCCATAGAAAATCACTCTGGTCTCCAACCCCACACCTGGATTTTCCTATATAGTCTGGTTAATTGCATGTTTTCAGAAAGGAAACAAA